AGTTTAGGGTTAGGGGATATCTTAGTGGTGTCTGGTGCATGCTTGGACGATCAACGGAGGACTTGGTTGTTGCAGACCGACCTTGGGAGCTGGTCACGGTAATCTGCTTAGCTCCAATTGAGTATCCACCAACAGCTTTTGAGCTGACATTCGCCACCTTATGACCCTTGGAAAGCCCCTTCATCATTTTTGTACCCGGACTTCCCCCGTAGGTGACTCTCTTGGACTAATTTTTGTTTCGGGTCCTCCTTTTGCTCCTGACCAACAGCAGCCTTACCTATATCTCTCCTCTCCTTATCCTCTCCGCTGACCTCCACCGATCCTACCTGGTCAACCTCCATCCGCTTGCTGGCCGCTTCTAAGACCCTTGTATCCTCTCGGAGTTCATCATTAAGATCCTCCAACGCTAAGAACCTCGATCCTCCTTTATTAGAGGCGTTCACCTGATTCGGTTGGACCACTGTTAATTGCGGCTTGCTCGTTTTAGGGCCACGTTTCCTTCTGTTACTCGTTGCTATCATCCACGGTCCATATTCCTCATAAATTTCCGGCCTCTCCTGCTCAATCGTAAGTTTTTGCTGAGGGATGTGGGTTATGCAGAAGTCCTCTTCTGTTGGGGTATCAACAGTCTTCTTTGGGCATGATTCTTGCTCATGACCATAGCGTCCACATGAGAAGCATACTTTGTGAAGTCCCTCGTATTCAATGCGCCTCGTTCGCCTTTCCATTATGTACTTAAATCAGCGGCTTTGCTAGGTTTACCTCAACACAAATTCTTGCGAAGTGGCCTCGTATAGCCTGTCTCATTGCTTCATCCATTTTCACGTAAAGCCCGATCGAGTTTCCAATATTTCTTAAGAGTTCCTCATCATAGTAATCCATGGGAGTCTGGGAAGCCTCGCCCATACCATGATTTTGGAGAGCTCCTCCTCCTCGGGTTCGAAGCCCCTGCGCCATACCCTAGTGAGAACGTAGTGATCCTCTATCATCCAAGGTCCCCCATTGAGGGCTCTATCATAATCATGTTCAGTTGTGAATCTTGCCGAGTAAAAACCATGCCCCATAGCTGCTATTGTTACCGGTCCCGTGCATGCCACATATTTTGTAGCCTTCGTTGTAGGAATAGGAATGGGAAAGAGTGCCCAAGGATGCGAACGATGAGGGCAAGGCGCCATCGCTGACTACGCATTTTGTGAAAACCTTGCAGAATCCTCACGTTCGGGCAGTCTGGTTCTCCCTCACCATCACTGTCCATCATCTCTCTTCTTTATCGTCCACCTTGATAGCCTCTTCTTCCAATAGCACTCCAATGACCTTATCCCTATACGACAACATTTTTCCTGTGGCGTTGGGATTGCCCTCGCTAATCGGGTCTATATTATCCAGGAGGTTTGGCATTGTCTCTTGCACCAGTTGATTACCATCCAGTTGATGGGTTTCAACGATCATTGCTCCTTCCCCTGTGAATCCTCGTTCTTCACGGGTTTTGGGACGTTTTGCCGATTGAACAGGCAAAGCCGCAGTCTCTGTTGCAGATCCCTCCTTGGGGAGATTCGGCGCAGGCGGCGGATCCCGCCGGTGGCGCTCATCGCTGCTGAAAGCTTCGCTTAGAGTTAGGTTTTCCTCCGATAAGTCTTTGAGTCTTAAGTCACATCCAATCCTGGTTTTGGCCGAGTTGAAGCCTTGCTTGTGCTGTGTGATGATTGTGGAAGCGAGGGGATTCTAATTTCACATTGTGAGCCTTCTGTAGTGGATTTTCTTTTGTTGGGGTTGATCGATACGATCTGACTCCTGTTCTTTTTCTTTTCCTTTTGTTTTTGATTTATCTACCAAACTAGAAAAGTATCCGCGCTATGCTGCGGGTGGTGGGAGACGTGGCGCGATTAACATTAGTAGCTATTCAATGAGGGTAATGGTTAGAGACTAGCGTACTATGTACATATTGATATAGTTCAATGGCAAGATTGATGCACATATTATTTTTTCAAATTAGTAGGATCGTTTGGATGAGTTATTCGTATGAGTTAAGTTGCACCCAAATAACTCATTTGGTGATGAGTTATTTGTACTTGAGTTAATTTGAAATAACTCATTAATGAGTTATTGTCAATACCTCATAGGGTTAGTTATTTTGAAATAACTCACAAATACCACATTCTCATTTTGTGAGAAATTCCACTTTTATATTAACTCGTTACACAACTACTCATCCAAACGACCCCTAAGTATTAGTTGTTACTTCTCTCACATTTACGTTAATATAGTAGCTTATAATTTCAATTTTACTTTCAAGTCAAAGATAATTCATCTATTTGTTCATATTCACAACCGTAATTATACAATAACGATTAATAGTGATATTAGGAGGACAAAATAACTTGTTATGTAGTCTATCTAAGTCCAAATCAAGGTCGATCTAATTTACCATATAACTAGAAATATGGTCAAACAAAAGTTTATAAACAGAAATAAAAATGACTAAGGCCAAGTCCAATGCAAAACCCCAAATTCGGGGATTGAACTCATTTTCCCTTCTTTTGCTCAAATGCTTCAGTCTCCATATTTGTGGATCTTCAAATTTCCAGTTTAGCCATTTACTGAAAAATGTACTTATCGAAGCTTTAATATAATTTGTTCATGTTAATTTTTGTATAGTTTGTCATCATTTTTAAATACAAAATTTTCGATAGAATTTTATTAAATTCCGAGACCGATTTTTTTGGCGAAAAATTATGGACCTAATTTGGGTTTACACACAACACTTGAAAATGATAAAGCTAAACGAGTTTACATAATAATTCAAATGGTACAATTCATAGGTTACACACAACTAGGGCTGTCCATTTGGTTTTGGTTTTTTGGTTTTAACCGAAACCAAACCAATTGGAAAGCTAATGGTTTCAGTTTTTTTGTTTTAAACCAATAAGCAACTTAATGGTTTTGGCTTGGTTAAAACGAAAAACCAATAGAAACCATTAAGAAACCAATAAGAATAAAATTATTTATCAACAATTTTTTTTTCTTTTGACACACATGCCAATCAATAATTTGTAATGGCCATTTACCATATTATGACGTTTATTCAATAAAAAGGAGGGAAATAGGAATAAATATGAGTGTATGAGTACATGTTGGTTTTTTGGTTATCCAAACCAAAACCAAAACCAAAACCATTAAGGTCCTTATGGTTTTTGGCAACCAAAAACCAATAAGGACCTTAATGGTTTTGGTTTTGGTTTTGGGATTTGGTTTTGGTTTTGGTTTTTCATACTTAATGGTTTGGTTAACCAAACCAAACCAAATTGACAGCCCTACACACAACACTTGCTAATGATAAAGGTTAAATATTACACACAACACTTGAAAATGATAAAGTTTAAAAATAACACACAACACTTGAAATGATAAAAAGGAAACACATAACATGTCAATAATCACCCATAAGAGAATAGTAATCCCAGTATGTAAACATAAATCATAATAGCATGGATCTTAGAATTAGATGATTTCACGAATCGGTAATAGATCAAGGAAACCTACCTCGATACATGACGAGAGCGGCGACGGCGGCTTGAGTAGTAATCACCGGAATTGAGTTTCTCCCTCTTGACCCCTTTAGGTTTTTAGGTTTAGAGATTTCAATGACGGCTAAGAAATTCTACGTAATGGGGTGGAGAGAGGACCAATCCTAGGGTTTTTATATAGACCCACCATCAGGGTATATTAGGAAATTACCTTTTTCATTAACCAACCAATATATGACTTACCTTATATATTAAATATTAAGTGATAATTACACTTGGGCCACAATTATTCCTAGTGACCCATACAGGAATTGGGCTTACATTCTCCCACTTGGCCCATGTGTCATTTATATCACAAGATCTAATAATAAACATAAGTGTGCACATCATAAGATAAATCCATAATATTTGGTTCAATAAAGTCATTATCAAGTATGAAAGCTAGATTAGGATCATGGCGGTTCTATATCAATTTATCGACATAGTCCTTCCATGTACCACAAAACCAGTTTCATGCTCAATTTGACACATAACAAGGTATTCATAATGGTCCAACAATAATGTTTCCTAAAGACAAAAATCTTGTTTGTCACATAATCCATAATGTATATATATGATCGTAATAAACAAGACAAGATTCATAACTTTATTCCAGAAACAAAATAAATGAGCTCAAAGTGTCAATCCATGAAACATAAAATAACTTTAGTCATGACGTCCTATAATCCCCATCCTTTCGACATGTTCAGTAAATGTCTTAGGAGGCAATCCTTTTGTTAATGGATCAGCAATCATAAGTTATGTGCTAATATGCTCGATCGACACCCTTTGTTTCTGAACTTCTTCCTTAACGACAAAGTATTTCACCTCCATATGCTTAGCACCCTTCGAATACTTGTCATTCTTAGAGAAGAATACCGCTGCGGAATTATCACAGTAAATTTTCAGCGGCTTGGCGATAGTGTCGACAATTCCAAGTCCAGAAATAAAATTCCGCAGCCATAAACCATGATTCGTAGCTTCATAACAAGCTATGAATTCAGCTTCCATAGTGGATGTGGCAATAACAGACTGCTTCGCACTCTTCCATGAAATTGCCCCTCCGGCTAGAAGGAACAAATAGCCAAAAGTAGACTTCTGGTGTCTACACATCCAGCATAATCTGAATCTGAATATCCAATCACCTCAAGGTGATCAGATCTCCTAAAGGTGCATGTGGTCTTTTGTTCCTTGCAGATACCTTAGTACCTTCTTTGCAACTTTCCAATGATCTACTCCTGGATTACTTTGATACCTGCCCAGCATTCCGACAGCAAAGCTGATGTCTGGTATGGTACAAGTTTGTGCATAATTCAAACTTCCAACAATAGATTCATAAGGAATGTGTTCCATTGCTTGCGTTCCAATTCATTCTTTGGACATTGTTTGAGACTAAATTTATCTCCCTTCTGAATTGGAACGACATTTGCAGAGCATTCAGCCATGTTGTATCTCTCTAGGATCCGTTAATGTATGATTTCTGAGACAATCCCAACAGTCCTTGTGATCTATCACGAAATATTTCTATTCCAATCACATAGGATGCCTCACCCAAATCCTTCATTTCAAAGTTCATAGAGAGAAACTCCTTGGTTTAATGTAATAAACCAAGATCATTAGTAGCAAGCAAGATATCGTCAACATACAGAACTAAAATTATAAACTTGCTCCCACTAATCTTCAGATATATACATCGATCGACGATTCTCCTTAAATCCAAAAGATGTAATGGTATCATTGAACTTAATATACCATTGTCGGGAAGCTTGTTTAAGTCCGTATATTGACTTCTTTAATTTACACACCATATGTTCTTTTGCCTCAACCACAAAACCTTCAGGTTGATCCATATAGACTGCTTCATCTAAATTCCCATTCAGAAAGGCGGTTTTCACATCCATCTGATGGAGCTCTAGATTATAATGAGCCCATTGCCATGACAATCCTTAAGGAGTTTCTTAGAGACGGGTGAAAATGTCTCTTTATAGTCAACACCACTTTTCTGAGTGAAACCTTTGGCAACAAGTCTGGCCCTGTGTTTTCGATATTGCCATTAGAGTCGTGTTTGGTCTTCCAGACCCATCTATTACCAACTCTTTTACAACCTTCAGGTAAATCAACAAGGTCTCAAACTTCATTTTTATACATAGATTTCATCTCTTCTTTCGCGGCAGCTAACCATTTATCAAAATGCTCACTTTCCATGGCTTGTGAAAATGAAACTGGATCATGATAGAGTCCTAAATCAATTCTAACTCGTGAAGATAAACCTCATAATCATCCAAAATTGCAGTTCTTCGATTTCTTGTAGACCTTCTTAATGCGATTTCTTGTGGTTCATCTATGTTTGTTCATTCTCAATAGCAATATTAGGTGGTGCTTGACCGTTCATTTGTTGTTTTGCAAATCGTTATCATGCTCAACATGTGCAGGAGCAACAACTTGAGAAGAGGGAAGAGGCAAAGAGATTTGCACTCTAACTTCTTGAATTTCCACATTGCGTGGCTCTAAGCTCCCACTAACTTTACCATTCTCAATGAACCTAGCATTTCCAGTTTCAACAATTCCGTACTATGGTTAGGGAAAATCGATACCCCTTAGATTTTTCTGGATAACCAATGAAGAAACCACTGATTGTTCGTGAGTCCAGTTTTTTTCATGTGGATTATATATTCTCACTTCCGCTGGGTAACCCCAAACATGCAGGTGCCTTAAACTGGGTTTCCTTCCCGTCCACAGTTCAAAAGGTGCCTTAGGAACTACTTTACTAGGAACCCTGTTTAACAAATACACAGCGGTCCTTAAAGCGTGCATCCACAATGATTTGGGTAAAGATGAATTGCTTAACATACTCCTAACCATATACATTAAAGTACGATTCCGCCT